TTTATCATGTTCATTGCTGACTCCGACCCTACATAGGCGTGGTCGGTTGTGAAATGCAGAAAATAGGTAACTGTCCTATTTATTTTATTTTTTCAGCAGCAAGGCTCAGTGACTTGCCGATATTGAACGATAAGTGGTTTCAAGTAAATTAGTTGGAACTTTGATATACACTCTCAGTTCCTCGTGCACTACAGATGCACAGATACAGTGTACAATGGTAAGTGATGCCCCATGGAGTTTGCGACAATGAAAGTACTGGTTTAAACCTTGAAAGCGCTATTAGAATTTAATATGTTTGTCGTTTTATAAATACATTTCTGCAATAATCTACAGCGTCTGCATGCACTCCTTTCTTTGCCAATAGGATGAAGGAGGCTATGCGTACGGGTCGCAAGAGCGCATCGTATTGACTTCAATATCTTGATGTGCTTTGCAGTAGATGGAAGACGGTCGCTTGCACCATAACAAACTGTTGACCATCAGCAGGGCCCTGCATAGAATTTAGCTAAACATCACTGCGCCATTGCTTCAGCCCATGTCGTCGCACTTCACTGAATGCCAGCAGATGGTCAAGTTAGACGCTTCATCCGGTAAACACATGGAAGAATTTCGCTTCATCAACACGAGTTTACTCGCTTGTGTTTTAGCTGCACGTGCACGACAAATTATCCTCAAACTCCACGGCGTAGGGCCTAACTGGACGGACAAATTCGGTTTCACACGCATTTGAATATCACTACAACCTGCTCTGTTACATATGTTTTTACGATGTCAATAGTATGATATCGCAAGAACGTGCTAGAGGGCCTTGTCAACGTTAGTGTTCATTGTTCGGTTGTTTATTCAAACTGTGTAAACCGTTTATCTCAGAAGAAAAGCTGTGGACGTATACCTTATTCCTAGGTAATTAGGTGACCTCTATTTGCCTTATCTCTTAGGCAAGCGATAAAGCAACAACTATTGTTAAGCTATTGGGCTTAAAGCATTGAAATTCGGACGACTGTGACCATGGCCATGATACTGTTCTACATCGGTTAGTAGATTGCATTCAACCAAGCAGAGTTGTCAGATTATCCAGGCTGGGGTTCTAGTCAACGTGCTACATTGTGCCGCAGGTTAAGCCGTGTTAGCTAGTCACCCTGACCTTCTTGTCTGTACAGAAACGTTTAGGACTAAAGACGTCCTTGTCGAAGGTTGTGCTCCATACGTCCTCATCAAAGCGGAATACGCGCTGCTGTGCATCAGGGAGTTTGTAATTAGATGGCGTCACGCATCCACTACTTTTGGCATGCTTGTCCCAACATGTTTATTGTCACCTGCAATTTTCTATATTGCAAATGTTTATCTTTAATAAAAGCCCACCTCAATGACGCATTTTACGGGTCCCTCGGTCCTTCCAATGAGTGTACAACTGTTGGAGAAGCGAGACTATTTTTTCTCCACAAAGGCTAAAAAGCTACCTGTTCACAGCGCTCGGTTTCTGCGACCTTCAGCGCTCCATTTTCTACATCCACCCATAAACTTAGCATCCTAGGTATAAAGCGAGCTTCTTTTGAGTAGCCAGATCGGTATGCCCTGGATAAATATCGAACTAACTTATTGCTACCGACAGGCTTTATGTTGAACGCTTCAAACAGCGCATACGTAGAGAGGGAGGAGAATCCCCCTTGGACACCACCTACACATCCGCAAGTGAGATGTGGTCACTTCAACAACTCACTATTATTGATGCGCAGCACAAAGGTTAAACAAACCGACCACACATACAAAATTTTACATAAAGTACGAAGTAACCTCCCATCAGCCGCTTGACTGTACGCAGTTTTACCTTGCTTTACAGCGTAATCTCCCTCAGTGTACCAGTTCTTCAAGTTCCCAAGTAAATAGGTGAACGCTTAAATACCCTAACAGTTCAGTTGCTGCGATCGGGATGCAAGTCATTGGGGAGTACAACAGTGGATTCTAGTTGCGATTGCGTTTGGCTATTGTGTGTTGCTGATTAGTACAGTTATCTGGCACAGAGCACATAGGTGACGGTGGAAAATTTGAACCAGCAGTACACATAGCCGTTAACTTTGGCTGGCGCTGCTGTGTTAAATTTTCCTTCCTTACGAACATGCAACTAAGCTAGGTGTATATTGCAGTTCCTTATTCATTCACGCTGATATTCGTCATTCAGACGAACTGTTCACTAAGCTTGCAGATTTGTTGTAAAGGTTTCGTTCCTTGTCCAGTGGACCGCATCAGCACCATAGTGTGTAGTGGTAGTAGTAGTGGTAGTAGTAGTAGTAGTAGTAGTAGTAGTGTGTAGTAGAACGCAGCCATGTGCAATTATGTGTGGACCGCGTAGTTGTGTGCGTGCGTGTTTATAGCCTATAGACACTGCTCGTTGGGAAAATGACCTGAGCTACCTATAATTGTTTCCATATCCGTTGTTTCATGGTTCCAACGTTGCTTTTCATACGAAAATAAAATGAGGGGGCGCCCTAAGATTCACCAGCCGCCATCAATCATCGCCATTAACCATAACGCACAGTCCAATTGACATGGTTGGAGTCTCTGGGAATAAGATCGAATAATACCATTCATTAAATATTTGTCTCTGTTCTTGTTATTACCAGTCGGTAAAATAAGTAATAAAGCAGGGAGTGGCTGGCTGAATGGAGACAAGGAGTTATTTGAGGTTTGGCAACCAGTAGTGAGGAATTAATTTGCATCTAGCTTACGTTTTGGTGGATTACACCAGCTACTTGCGAAGTGTCGTAGATAAAACCTGCCAAAGAACTGCGAAATGTGGCTCCATTTGCTTATATTCTCTAACTTCTCTCTAGACTAACTAAAAGCTCGTTAGACCTACCTATTGAGATGACATTTACACCCATAATAACCCGTATAAATGACCAGTATGTACAGTAGCTTGACAAACAATTTTCTTAAACAAAGGCAGCTCTATCATCGATAGTTTATTCATTTTTAATTGCATAGTGAAGCCTGCGAAGATTCATCACCCTTTTAGAAATAAGGCTGAAAATGATGTATGACCAATGTATTTTCAATCTACCAGTGCACATTCTCCAGCCCCGGCACTATCAACAGCCAGTGGAAAGCGACTTATCATAAACTTATTCTGTTACCTAAGCAAGCCATTCAGCAGATTGTCCCGTCCAACCGTGGTAGGCAAATCAGGTATAGCTTCTGGTAGCATGGTCAGGTTGCCAGTCATCAAATACTAAATCATGGTTCCCCAGACTCAGCTATGAACATTTCGAACCAGTGGGTTCAACAAGAAGTAGACGGATCGTGGATTACAGTGTTGAGAGTACATAGCATCGAAAATTCATCAGCGAGGTAATTTTGCTCACATAATGCAGTCGTGCTGATGGGGCATATTGGCAAATGATAATCCCCCACTAGCCGGACTGAGACTGATTCCATCAATCTCACTTTGTGGAATCATAAATCAAACTGGTCCTTGAACGCGAGTGAACTGCGGACAATCAGGAGCCTGGTTGATTTATTAATCACGTTTAAGGCTTGTGTAATATCCCACAAAACAGCAAAAGCACCAGCAATCATCCATAGCCGCAGTACCCGATTTTAAGTGCCTATTCTATTTGTTCAGTTTCGTTCCTTTAAACGTGTGTACAAGAGATGTTTAAATGTGTCTGGCTAACCAACAATATGCCGATAGGGTTTCCAGGTACTAGGGTAAGTCTCTTGGCTACTTCTTGATAATGAACAATAGCGGCAAAATGTACTGCGTTTTTTAAAAGTTCTAATTGAGAAGCCCTAAAACACAGACATATCAACATCACGCCAATGGCTATCAAAAATACCGACGATTAGTTGCTTTCCCTCAGTCTTGTGGCTGTGCTATGCAAATACTCTGCATAGGTCAAAATAGTTAGACTTAACACTAGTATTTTTCACATTCCTAGTACCATTTTCTGCCATCGTAACAGCATCGCATGCATGATCCGTGTGTCTTTGTGACGAGGAGGTTGAAGCTAGCTATTGAGTCCATCAAATAAGTGTGTGTACGGATAGGCAGTTGCGAAGACGCAGAGGTTAATTTGTTAATCACAGAAGCAATATTATTTGCTTCATCACGGAAAACGTCCATGACATAAGAAGAGTGTTTATATTACTTGTCAAGTTATTCTTAACTGGAAGGCTAGAAATTTCGTTAAGCATTACGAATGCATGAAAGTTCCTACTCAGTAACGTTTTCTGAACCCGTTGTGTTTGGTATCTTGGATAAGCCCAAGCAAATGAGCCATAAATTTGACGACCAAATAACAAGGACGAAACAGCGGTCGAGGTGTGCCAGTGTTAGGGGAGCAACACCCAAATATTTCCATTCCGGGTACGGTCCTCGCGATCGGAATGAGTGTGGTTTACCTCAATAGAGGTTGCGAGTCGCAATCCAACCACATACCGTGTTCCCTAAATTCAACTTTGAATAATCGTAGTTCGTTTGATCAGTTGGTGCAATCGAGAAGGCCACGGTGACTGAAGCGAGTGATGTATAGAGTAGCCATCGCTTATAAGGTGTGATGTCTGGATTGTTTTTGAATCCGGAGTTACATATGACTCGTAAAAGACAACCATCGGTTTCGTACTGAAAGAAGCAACGTGATTTGCTTGACAATCATAAGTTGCGCCATTACGTTTACCGAAAAAAGTGACACATATTCCTTCCTGTACCTGAAACGGAACAACCTCCGAAGTGAGAACAACAGCGACAGAGAGCAAGAATGGGCATAGTATAGGATGGCGCCACGGCAACCGCAAGTGCCTTGATGGTTCGCCGCTGTTGTTAACACAACTGCGAACATTTTCAAGCATTGTACTCTGGCAAATCCATTCGGCTATTTTAAAACACAAGTTTCAACAAAGCATTTTCCAGAATCTCCCTATATTTGCTTACGCACGTTGGTGTGTTCAGCACTACACAAGAATGAGGATCCAGGGCAGTCTGATCAATGCAATTTACTCACCTCCAATAACACCTTCTTTGTAATGCCACCAGGTATCCCAAACCGAATTCCAAGAAGTTTCGTACCACATCGATGCCATGGTTATCCGGAATACTGATAAAATAAAGCGCATAATCATGCATAAGTATTTCACTGCTGGCTAGAGAAGAAAGTCCGGGTGCACCGTGATTACACACACATAAATGTAGTCGATAACCTTTCACACAAACATGCAGAACCTTTCATCCAACACATTTATTGTAGATTAGCCACTATCTGTGACTAATCAGTACCACCGCGTTATTCTACCTGTCTCAGTGAAAACTGCTGTGGTTTCCAACACGGGGTGAGCACAGATTTTACAAATCATATGTTAAAGGCAACCCAACAAACTGGACGTAAACGTCTATAGAATAGTGCTTCCCTAATCATTTCATGCAAATGTTGTCCTCGCATTATCAGTCTCCACAAACCATTGAGACATGGATTCGTTAATGGTGTTTTCTGACATGGAAATATGATATCATAACGCCCGGCTGTTCCAACGCCTTGAAATCTGTTTGAAATCCATTGAGGATCATTGACTTCAGAAAGACTTTAAAACTGCCAATCGGTATATTTGGTCGCCTGCGTTGCATTTTTAACAAAAAGGCTTGTTAGACTAAATTGCTTAGTGCTTGAGCAATGTAACCTTTACAGCAACCTACGAACAAGATGGCCATGACTGAGAGATACGTAAGAAAGCTGCCGCGTAACAGGCCACAGTGTCACTACAAATGGCGAATTAAGGATGTAAATGTTATACCTATTTCACACTACACGTTCCTCACACGCATTTTCAGACCAGCGATGTGGGTGGTGGTGATGGTGGTTTGAACTTCACTCTTTGCTCCGGATCTGTCAACGAACGCGCCTCAGACTGGCCAGGTTAAGAAATCCCACCACACACTCGAATACAACATCCCAACCATTCTAATCAGCAGCTGTTAGATTTAGCAATTTACACTGTCGCGACAAGCTTCCCTTGAGGTTTTGATCGATACTCTCACCTACCGAACTCTACGTTATGTAACTCGACTTCATACAAGGTGTCTACCGCATGCATTGCTACAACCAAATGCCACAGTAGAGGTTTGCGTTCCAGCCAGTTCATCGGTGCCCCTGATCTGTGTCTCATACGTTCTGTTAATCCGTGTGCAAATCTCTCACGGTTTAGCCAATGCACGTGTGTTCACAATCTTCGCACTCCGTTTAATAGGGGTAATTATTTGTCTTATCACTGCACTAGTGCCAAACGGCCCCTTTAGTAGACCACCCCTACTATTTTCTTGTCTGATACCCTCCGGAGGGCCCCCAAAATTCCTTATTTATATGCAATTATTACTGTCTCTCCATAGTGTGCCGGTGGTTTGCGAGTAGACGATTCCACAACTGGCTTCCCACTAAGCATCTCGGCTATCTACTCGCCAGTGTTTAGTCTATTGTGTTTTTTCCGAGCGGCTTCTCACCAGGCCCAAGATCCGGGCTCTGTGAAAAAGAGATGAGACAGTCCTGTCAACTACATGTCTTGGTTGACCTAGCGGTCGTAGAACAGTCCATCTGTGCCTAATGTTCTACAAAGCACCATTGTGTTTAGACTGTCTATTGTGCTGATTCAGTTTTATGATGAAATTTACAGCATTATCAAGTGACTGAGAATGGCTTAGTTAGCGCTCTGGTGGGTCTCCAGCATTTTGTCGTAGAGCCTCCTCTAGGCAACCACGCGACTGACTTGAACTATGCTGAGAATACTGCCTTGGTTGCTGACGATCTAGAGATCTTGCAGGCCATTCTAAATCGTTTGGTGATTGAAGCTAGCAAGTATGGCGTAACCTTCGTCACATCGAATTGTAAACTCCTAATCCAGGATCAGCAACCACTTGCCCCCGTGCTGATTCTTGAAGGCATGTAGCTTGAACAAGTAGATAGCTTCCTCTAGCTTGGAAGATGCGTCTGTTCTGATTACCTCATTGGTAAAAAGATTTCGCTCCGTATTTTCAAAGCCAGATCAGCTTACGTTCAGCTGAGGCATTTGTGGCGCCGTCGTGACGTTTCACTCTCGATAAAGGGTAGGGTTTACAACCCCTGTGTTCGCTTTGTGCTGTTGTGCGGAAGTGAATCTTGGCCGATCCGTGTAAACTATTTGTTCCGGATTTCGCCCTTTGACAGCGGTTGTCTGCGGAGGATAGCTCGTGTGTGGTGGGAACAACATGTTCGTAACGACGATGTTAGACGTCGCTTCTTGGGTGATACGGACCTCCCTCTCTTCATCAGTTAATGTCCTTGAGCAAACTGCGGTGGCTAGGTCACATCCTGCGTACGCCGTGCGATCGTTCATTAAAGTGCACACTATCTGCTCACAGCGTCGCATTGGAAGAAATCTCGCGGTGGTTTACCTACCACATGACCACAAAGCGTCAACGTGCTGACTTTCAGTCTAGTTGTTGTCAGTTCCGTAGGTCCTTGGGTTGGGGAGTCAGAGATGAAGACATCGCTGGTAAAAGGCTCTTGAGGATATGACGCGTAATCGGACCAATGGAAGGTTTTGCATTGCTTAACTAAATAAAACCGTAATCATTAACTGACAAAAAAGAGAAAACGGCGTGGAAAAATAACAAAGCTTTTCTTTTTCTTTTTCATTCTTCTGCTCAGTGTACTTAAAATGCACATTTATTCCATGGTTTTAGGTGACTGGATGTCTATTCTATAGGAAACTGATTTCGCGCATATATATATATATATATATATATATATGGGTGATGGCTACATATTCTACTAGGTGGGCAACGCAGCCTCAGCACCACGTGAACATGGACTCGGATTTCCAATATCCGATCGCCTCCATGGCCAGTTGGTGGGTGAAACAACTGTCGTCATCGCGCGATTGATAACTGTTTGCGTACGACTCGAGAGATGCAAGTTTGCCACTTTTATAAACACGTACGGTCCGACCATGTGTTATCCTGATGACACGCGTGATCAATTCTACACTCAACTAACCTCCATGATAAGCTCTGTGCCGAGGAGCGGCTGACTATTTCTGCTGGGTGATTTCAACGAGCGCATTGAGCGTGGTTCATCGGTGTGGGTAGATGTTATCGGTTCGCATGGCATTGTTTCAGCGAATGCGAACGGTGACAGCCTGCTCTCACTGTGTGCCACTTACGACCTGACGATCACGAGCACTCGGTTTGCACTGAGTTCGATTGATAATGCAGCTTGGACGCACCCACGGAGTGGTCACGCTCACCTGCTCGACCATGTCATCGTACGTAAGCGTGATATACATGAAGTGTGCATCACACGTGTACTGCGTGGAGCTGAGTGCGGCACTGATCACAAATTGGTTCGGACCAAACTGTACATATATTTTCGTAAATCTATATGTTACACACCTGCCGGGAATCGGCGTAAATTTAACATTCTCTCCCTCGGTGCTGGGGCGAAACATACTGAGCTGGAGAAGGCGATGGTTGCACGCCTGTGTGATGTGGACTGCATAGCCACAGTGGAACACCTGTGGCACCACATTCGCGACCAGGTGACAGCTGCCGCAGAGGAGACCATCGGGCGCGCAAACTGCAAGCGGCCTGGTTGGTTTGATGACAACAATGCGACGATTTGCGCATTGGTGTCGGAGAAGAATGCAGCATTTGATACACATGTGACTGACCCAAGTGACTTGGGGAAGAATAGTCAGGTTCGCAACCTACGACGGCGACTGACCCAAGAGTTCCGTCGCATTAAAAATGCTTGTGGACGGAGAAGGCGAAGCAGATGAAATGCTGCGCCGAACGTCGCCAATGTAGGGAATTATTTGACTCCATGAAGACGGTGTATGGACCGAGCTTGGAGCCGCTGAGGACGCTGATCGATGGTAGTTCAGACGCTACCTGCACACAGACTGCAGACATAATGCAGATCTGGCGGGAAAACTTTGACCGTCCCTTGAATAATCGTTCAGAGATCGACTGGCCTACGTTGAACGGCCTCAAACAGCACGAAGTGAAGGTGAGTCAGACGGACACACTGACACTGGATGAGACGCAGAAAACACTTGCTCAGCTGCGAAACAGCACGTGTGCAGGGGCCGACGGGATCCCGCCTGAAGTATAGAAACACGGCGGACCCGCGTTGTTGACTGCGTTGCACCACTTGGTGCAACGCGTATGCATTGAGGAGGAGGTGCCTCCTGAACTGAAGAATGCCCTTGTGCTAACAGTGTACATGGGCAAAGCTAGCAATCAATATTGTACGAATTATCGTGGCATCAACTTGCTGCTTTGTGTAGGCCAGGTGATGGCCCGAATCTTGCTTAACCGCCTCGTCAGTCAGGTTGTAGAACCTAACGTGGCGGAAGATCAGTGTGGATTCCGCTCGGGTCGCAGCACTATAGATATGGTGCTTGCAGCGTGCCGGTTGCAGGAGAAGTGCAGAGGAAGACATCAGACTCGCTTTTCGTTGATTTCATCAAGGCATTTGATACGGTGAACCGCGTGGCATTGTGGCTGGTGTTGGGCAAGTTTGGTTACCCACGTAACTTTGTAAGTTTAATTGAATATCTGCACAGTGGTATGCGAGCGAGGGTGCAGCTGAGTGGACACACCTCGGATGACTTTGCAGTTGTCTCTGGTGTGAAGCAAGGCTGTAGCTTAGCTCCTGCTCTGTTTAATATATATGATCATGCAATGATGTCTTTTGCTTCTGATGCCGCTTGTGCTTACGGTGTTCGTGTGGAGCACCGTACGGATGGTGGGTTGCTGAACATCCGTCATTTCGGTGCGAGGACTCTAGTTTGTGAGACAACTATCCGTAGGTTGTTGTTTGCTGACGACTGTGCGTTGTTTGCACACAGCGTGGATGATTTGCAGCACATGACTAGTGCTCTGGCTTTGACAGCGGCCAAATTCGGGCTCACCATCAACACAAGCAAAACTGTCTGTCTCTTTCAGCCTTCAGCGGAAGTGCAATCTTCAATGTTGCCGCGAATCCGCATTGGTGCTGAAGTATTGGAAACCACCTCCCGCTTCTGCTACCTTGGCAGTGTGATGTCGACTGATCAGCAGATACATAGT